GTAACTATGTTCTGAAAACACTGCATTTAAGAATTCTTTAAAAATTGATTATCTGACATTAAAATATGTCCAAGGTAGGCATCTTGCTGAGCCCAAATTGATTTGAAGTGCCATGGTTCAAGTTGAACTTTAAGCTTTTTAATTTAGATGTAAGAAATGCCATTGGGCAAATAATGGGAACCCATGACATATATAGCCAAAGAATAATTTGGTTCAGGTAAAGATAGAAGCTTAATAGTGGGCATCCATTCTGTTTTATTTTTAAGGAAGATGAATGAGGAATTCTGTTTCTAGCCTGTAACTCTCTGTGTGGAAGTCTTTGTAAAATAGAATATTCTAAGCTAGCTGTGGTGGTTATTCCCTACCATGAACTGAGAGGTGTGGCTTACACATAATCTGTCACCTGTGAGACTCACTCCATGAACCATCTATCCACCCTCCTCACCCACTGTGGTTTGCTCTTCCTTCACCTGTTCCTGGTCCTCAGCAGAGGAGAGGTCTGATTTTCTCTTTTTCAGACTGTATTTTTAGGTCTCTTAGCTATTAGGAGCTGTCAGATATATACTAACAGCAAATTTCCCTAGCCTGAAGTTAAATACCACATCTGCACTATGTACCTCCTGGGGATCTGACCTCAAGTGTGCTCTGAGCCCAGGCTTCTGGTGTGATGTCTTCTACTGCAAAATTATGACAAATTGCAACTATTGGTATTGTGATTTGATTCTGTGTACAAAGAAAGAAGCTCTATGCAGTGAGTTTGTGGTTTAATGGTCACAAAATGTTAGCACTGCTACCATTCAGCACGTGTAAAATTTTTTAAATTTATAAATATTAAAATTTTAAACTTATGCTGACTTTTCAATTTTTTTAAGAGACCCAGGGATGAGTGTACTGTTCAAATATTTACCTCTCTTATAACAATGAAGGTATAAAGTTGCATTTAGTTTTTCAAAAATGCTGCAGTATGATTTTAGAAAATAAATCAAGGCTATGTATTGAGCCTGTTACAAGCTGAATATCAAATTGATACATTTTATTTGTATTTTTTAAATCCATAAATGGGAGTTAAAATGTCATTTCACTAAATATTTTTATTACATTTTTGTTATGACCATGTGTGATTTGTTCGTGGGTACTTAACTAGACTATTTTATGAAAAATATTGAAGTGATGCTAGTTGGACATCATAGGATGAATCACGCAGAACATTGTACATTCCTAAAATAATTTTAAAGATATACCTATAGATCAAAATCAAATTTGCATTACCTTCTGAGAACCCTCAACCCTCATAGGATACCCAGCAATCAGAAAGAAAAATTAAAATTTTGTTTATATTCTATAATATTTATTTTAGCCCACAGTCTTAGAAGCAATTTCAGAATTATTAGTTAAATCATTAGATTTGGGATATGTTTTTAGTAGTATGAGTCAATCCTCCTGTGTGCTACATACATCTTCTTTCACTCTTTGCCCAGTTTTTAAAAATATTTATTTTTTAGTTGTAGTTGGACACAATACCTTTATTTTATTTATTTTTATGTGGTGCTGAGTTTTGAACTCGGGGCCTCCCACGAGCTAGGTGAGCATTCTACCCGTTGAGCCACAACCCCAGCCCTCACCCTTTGCCCAGTTTTAAATCTTATGAACATACTCTTTGAAAAGTTAATGTTTTTTTAATGCATTTTGAAAATTATTAATTTCTAATGTAAGTTTTCTTTGAATATTTGATTTATAGTGTTTTTATATTGAGGCTTGATTCTAATCTAAGGATAGATAAAAGTAGTTTTAGAAGAGTAAATAGAATGTGTTTTGAATTTTTGTTTCCCTTCATTTCTAAGGGTGGAACCATAGTCACAGGCTAATTATTTCTCATTTCAAAGCCATGGATTATTTTTAAGATCTCAAACACATAAATCTACAGGCTACTTAGCTCATCATTGTGTATCAGTTATTTTTAACATCTAGCAGGAGAGTGAACTGAGGTAAGTCATTGGTGTTTCTGTCTATGTTGCCAAGATAGGCTTTAAATTTTTTTTTTTTTTAATGTTCAAGATATATTAGTAGTGGAGCTTCTCATTGGTATGCGTGATCATAACTGCACTGCCCTGAGAACTGACTAGTAAGGCTATTTGAATTGGCAAAATACAGGGTGGACAGGCCTAGATTCAATTCCTAAGTTACTTAGAGGTTACATTAACTTTCACAGCTCCTTCATCTATATCATACATCTTTCCAATGAAAAATTTTAAAAAACAGTGATGGATAAAATATAATAAATGTTCAATAAGAGTTCCATTGTATCTAAATATTTCTAAAAACACATTTTACTTCATCAGATACATGTATCCCAACACAAGTCTAATACCTGATAGTCACTAATAATTTTTAAATAGTTAAATCTTCAATACAGCATGATCGTATAGCCCTACGCCACAACCACCATAGTGGCATTGTAATGGAGTAAATATTACTGTCTTTTTTATGAAAAGTTGATCTAGTAACTTCACTGCCTTAGTACATTTTTGCTGTTTTAACAGGATAGTTGATACTGGGTGATTTATAAAGAACAGAAACTTATTTTCTTATAGTCCTGATTGCTGGGAAGTCTAAGATGAATGTGTGGGCATCTGGTGAGGGCTTTCTTGCTATGTCTTTATGTGGCTGAAAGTGGAATAGCAATAAAGAACTACCTCCATCAGGCCCCTTTGAAGGGGCACCTACACTCTTATATGAAGAAGGACTCTTCTTGTCCTAATCACCTCTTAAATGTACTACCTCTTAATATCTGAATTTTGGAGGAGACTCATTGAAACCATGGCATAATTATTTCAATTTCTGCTGAATATGCTCATTATTCCTGTACCCCCCCCCCCGCAAAAAAAAAATCCTAACAAGAGATTCCCAAAGTGCATTTCATGCATCACTAGTTCTTTATAGCTTAGTCTGATGTAAGTTTGAGGAAATGTTTCTTTAGAGTTAAAGGCTTTAATACATCAATATTGTAGGACTTCGAAGATTTTAATCATTACATTCAAAGTATTTTATGGGGGCTAGGGTTGTGGCTCGGTGGTAGAGCACTTGCCTCGGAAGTGTGAGGCACTGGGTTCAATTCTCGGGACCATATATAAATAAATAAATAAATAAAATAAAGGTCCATCAACAACTAAAAAAAAATTATAAGTATTTTATGGGACTAGAATTCTAGGGAAAATCTTTTGCATCATACAAAGGATAATTTGAGTAATTATCCTATGTATGATAATTTGAGTAACTCAAAAATGGGAAAAAAAAACAGGATTTTGTGTTTTTGTAATATATGTAATTAGGTCTTACATAAAAGGATCGGGGCAGGCGTGGAGGTAGGCGGAGCCTGTCCTAGCTATTCAAGAAGCTGAGTGAAGCAGGGGAAAGGGATGATTGCTTGAGTTCAGCAGCTCCATACCAGCCTCAGCAATGTAGAGACATCCAGCTCAAAAAAGAGAAAACTGGGGCTGGGTTTGTAGCTCACTGGGCACCGGGTTTTATCCTCAGCACCACATAAAATTAAGTGAAATAAAGGTATTATGTCCATCTACAACAAGAAAGAACAAAGTGTGCTTTCCCTGCCTCCTTAAAAAAAGTAGGGGGAACTGTCTTAAAATAAGAGTTTTTCAGAGTGATCTCCATTCCTTTTTTGTACTATTTCCTAACTATAAAGGAATAATCCCTGAATTTAAATGGATTTGAAAGCATCTTTCAAGTCTAATTTAACTGGACAAGCGATTTTCCTTTTACTGATAAACTGATTGTAAATCAGTTTGCCTTTGATAATTAAATTTTTATGAGTGAAAACTACTTAAATTACAGTGCCTACGTTTCACCAGGAAAGTACTAATCTTCCTGTACTACTGGCATGCTTTCTGAACAATCTTCAGCTACTGATGGAGGTAGAAATATTTAAGCTCTCTAAAGTCTATGGTAACTTTAATTGCAAAAATAACATATGGTAAAATACATAAGATAACTTGGTCTTACATGCTATTAAAACAATGGAAGCTTTGAAAACATTGTTTCAGAACAAGAATAATTTGCTTAAATATAAGCTTTTCTGTTAAATTATAAGCCAAGGCAGTCTTCTATGTATGGAACATTACCTCTATGAAAAATAATTCTGCCATAAAAGCTGGCTATTCTTTCTTGGTTTGTTAAGTGATTTCATTTAATATGTTTACTTTCCTGCAAGTTACACCCGATTTTGAAATATTTAGTTTAAAAAACTTATCAGTTCAGATCAAAGTCAAAATATGGGTTACTACAGACTGGAAACAGCACTTTAAATAGAAACTATGGCCCATCCAGTTATAAACCTACTCTTGTGAAGTACAATTGAATGGCATCATTTAGGAGCTGGACAATTTATTTATACCAGAAAGGGTTTAAAACTAGATATATTTAAAACAGTACGACAACTTAGAAAAATCATAAAATTGGTAAAGAAAATGGAGGTGAGAGATAGGAACATTATAGATTGCCTCGTGGATGTAAAACAAATGTCACTTAGTGATCTGCCAAGGTGAAAGGGGACCTTCTAATAGTTTATACGTGCCAGGTACTGTAGTTACAAGGTGTAGTTTACAAAAATTTTATTTACGGGACTATATGCTTGCTTTAATATACGTTGATCGATCGGTGCTTTCCAGGCTGAAGACACTGGAAGAGGATGAAAGTGTTTTCCTAACCCTGCCACTAATCTCAGTACGTTTCGATTATAACACTAGATAGACGAGGCTTGGATTCTGAAAACCTGAATCTCTCGGTGCCAAATTAGTGGGCCTAACTCGAATCTAACTAAAAACTTTAAAAGATTTTTTTGGGGGAGCCACCGTTCTTGGAGTCAACTGTTGAGACACAAGCTCACGGAAGGGCTCCCCGCAGGAGCTGGCCCTCGCTGACAGTACGAGCCACAGAAACTCCCGGAAGAGGCCCGCCTAGGCCGTGGTCTGCGCTTGCGCGGGCGGCTCCGCACCTCCCCGCCCCCGCCGCGCTCCGAGCTCTCCTGGGCGGCTGCGCACGCGTGGCTGGTGAGTGGACCGAGGGCGTGCACGTGGGGTGGCCTAGCGCCTCGGGGCGGTTTTGGGCTCGGTTTGGTTTTTATCGTTTGTTCCGCACCCTTTATCTGGTGCAGTAGTGGTGGAGAGGCCTAGTGGGTGAGCTAGAGCCTATCCAAGAATGGGGACCTGGTGGTTAGGTCGGTAGGTCCTGGTGCCTGCAGGGGCTGCGTCCTGGACAGCGCGCGTCCACACCCAGCTCTGGACGGCACGGTTAACTAAACTGCAGGCTCGGGGGAATTGTAATCTCCCGGGTTATGACCAGCCGTGGAGGCCCCCTTCTGAGCACAGGCAGAAGTGGCCGCTCTCCTTTTCTTGTTGGACCCCGGACGTTCGATGCATGCAATTTGAGAAACGCACAGCCTAGAGTCCCTCTACTACTTCAGGGCGATCGTCCTTTTCATCATCTGTTGGTTGAGGACTTCAGAGATAAGTGACAGCCCCTGCTAGGGCCTGAAACTTGACCATAGTAGGACCCTACCGTGAAATGAACACAGAACAGGGAAGACTTCCCCGGAGTGAGCCACGTGTAATATATGAAGGCTGTAGGGGAAGTGGCTACACGGGCTATCCATACCAGAATTCACTGCATTGTAACTTTATGGTTTGCATTTTGCTTATGTCAGTTTTACTTCAGCCTTTTTTTTTTAAGTTACAAAGGATAAATGGAACTTTTTTAAAATCTAAATTATTTTAAAATTTATCTATTTATTTATTTATTTTTGTGGTGCTGGGGTTCCAACCCAGGGTCTTGAACATGCCAGGCAAATGCTCTACCACTGAGCTGCATCCCGCAGGCCAAAAGAATTTATAAGAAAACAAAAATATCATCCATACAACAAGTTCATAATGTCTGACATTCAATTTTAAAAATCACCAGGCCTGCAAAAGAATACAGCTCAAAGCAAGAGAATACAACACAAAATGATTAGAAAATCAGTCAACTGAAGCTGACTTAGAACAGATAGAATGTCAGAATTAGGAGTGTCTCGGTGGGAAAGCACTTGCCTAGCATGTGTAAAGCGCTGGGTTTGATTCTCAGCACCACACATAAATGAAACAAAGGTCCATCTGCAACATATATATATATATATATATATATATATATATATATATATATATATATATATAAAACAGAAGGAAGACCGATAATGTAGAGGAGGGAAATCAGGGGAATGGAGGAAGGGAGGGAAGGGAATAGTACTGGGGATTGAAATGGAAAAAACTTTGTCATGTGCATTTATGAATATGTTAAAATGAATCCCACTATCATGTATAACAGTCATGCACTAAAAAATAAATATACCATAAAAAGAATAAATTGTTTTAAAATCCTAGCTATATGCTGTCTATAAGAAACTTCAAAAACAATGAAAGTAAAAGGAATGAAAAATATGTACCATACATTTTTTTAAAGTCATGAGTACTTTATTCTAGACCTAAGAGAAAAGAACTCATCAGCAATAAGGAGAGATGTTACATAATGATAAAAGGACTAATTCATCAAGAACATAGCAATTCCAGGGCTAGGGATATAACTCAGTTGGTAGAGTGCTTGTCTTACATGCACAAGGGCCCTGGGTTCTAATCCCAAACACCACACACACACACAAAAAAAGAACATAGCAATTCCAAATGTCTACTAGTCACCAAACAAAAGTGGCTTAAATGAGCCGGGCGCCATGGTGCATGCCTATAATCCCTGTGGCTCAGGAGGCTGAGGCAAGAGGATCGCTAGTTCAAAGCCAGCCTCAGCAATGATGAGGCACTAAGCAACTCAGTGAGACCCTGTCTCTAAATAAAATACAAAATAGGGCTGGGGATGTGGCTCAGTGGTTGAATGCCCCTGAGTTCAATCCCCAGTTCCCCTCAAAAGTGGTTTTCATGACATGAAAGATGAAGAAAAAATTGGTGGAAATGAAAGATGAAATAGATCGATCCATAATTATAGGTGGGGACTTCAGTTCCCTTTCTCAGCAATTGATAGAACTATTATTCAAGAAATCAGCAAGGATGTAGAACTTAATAGCAGCATCAACCTAAAGGACTTATTCATGTTTATAGAATCCTCCACCCAATGACATAAAAATATAACATCTTTCAGTCACCAAGATAGATGGTATCTTGGGTCATAACAAAGACTTCAACACTTTTTTAAAAATTGAAACAATATACATTAGAAAAATATCTGCAAACACTTGTAAACTAAACCTACTTCTAACAACTTATGGGTCAATGAGAAATTTAAAAATACATTGGACTGAGGCTGGGGTTGTGGCTCAGTGGTGAAGTGTTTGCCTAGCATGCGTGAAGCACTGGATTCGATCCCCAGCACCATATAAAAATAAACAAATAAAATAAAGGTACTGTGCCCATCTACAACTAAAAAAATATTTCTAAAAATAAATAAATAAATAATACATTGGACTGGAGCTGGGGTTGTGGCTCAGTGGTATAGTGCTCACCAAGCATGTGCAAGGCCCTGAGTTCAGTCCTCAGCACCACATAAAAATAAAATAAAGGTATTGTGTTCAACTACAACTAATAAATAAATAATACATTGGACTGAGTGAAAATGGGGGATAAAAGTATACAGTTAGTGGAATGTCATTAAGAAAAATTTGTAGCACTGAACACATTAGAAAAAAATGTTCTCAAATCAGTATTTTAAGCTCCCACTTCAAAAATGTAAAATAAAGAGCAAAATAGCACAAAGAAAAAGGAGGAGATAAAGATCAAAACAGTGAAATTGAAAATTAAAAAATAGAGAAAAATCAATGTTAAAAAATTTGAAAAGATCAATAAAATTGACAAAGCAACAGTAAGACTGAAAAAGAAAAATAGAAGACAGAAATTCCTGACATTAGGAATAAAATTGGAGAGTGCCAAGATCCTAAAGACATTGAAAAACAATAAGTGAACGTTACAAACACCTCTGTACACATAAATATAACAACTTGGATGAAATTGACCAATTCTTCAAAAACTACAAACTACCAAAACTCACCAATATGAAATAGATAATGTGAATAGTTCCATAAGTTTTAAAGGAATTGAATATGAAATTAAGAACCTCTCAAAAAATAGAATTTTTCAGGCCTTAGATAGTGTATTTTTTCCATTATAGCTGCTATAGCAAAATAAAGTAGCATGACTTTAAAAACAGCAATTTTTTATTTCTTGTAGTTCTGTTGACTGCAGTGTCCTAAGATCAAGGTGTCATTAGGGTATCCTGGTGAGGGCTTTCTTCCTGTCTTGTAGATTGCCTTTTCACTGTGTCCTTACTTATCAGAGAGGAAGTCAGTTCTGGTGTCTCTTCTCATAAGGGCACATGTTAGACAGTGTTCCATTACTGTAACAAAATATGTAAGATAATTAACTTAAGATGATTTTTTAATTGATTTCATGGTTTGGGAGGTTTTGGTCCATGGTTGCTTATCCCTGTTGCTTTTGGGTCTGGTGAGGCAGAACATCATGGTGGGGAATATGTGGTAGAGCAAGCTGCTCACCTCATGACAGTTGGGAAGTGAAAGAGAAAGGAAGAGAGAGGGGTTGGTTTCCAGTATTTCCTTCAATGACATGTCCCCAATGACCTAACTTCCTCCCATAGGCGCCACCTCTTAGATTCCGCTACTGGTTGGGAACAAATCCTTTAACACGTGAGCTTTTGGGGGACATTCCAGATCCATAGTGTAACAGGGCTCTAATAAATTAGGGCCCCACCTGTATGACCTCATTTAACATATCAACTCCTCATAGAATATATCTCTAGATACAATTACATTGAACTTCAGTGTATAAATTTGGGGAATGGGGACACAATTGGAAACAAAGCAGATGATTCTGTTGCAAAATTTTACCAAATATTTGAAAAACAGCACCAATTCTGCACAGCCTCTTCCAGAAAATAGGAGTGATTTCCAAGTCATTGGATGAGACCAGTATTATTACCATGATACCAAAACAAAAAACAAGAAAACTGTAGACCAAAATCTCTCATTTATATAAGTATAGAACTCCTCAACAAAATATTACTAAAGAGAATCTAGCCATATATAAAAAGAATTATATGCCATAGTCTTGTGAGACTTATTTCAAGAATGTAAAACTGGTTCACTGTTAGAAAATCAATGAATTTAAAAAAAGAAAAATGGGGTTGGGGCTGTGGCTCAGTGGTAGAGCACTTGCCTCGCAAGGGTGAGGCACTGGGTTTGATCCTCAGCACCACATAAAAATAAATAAATAAGGATATTGTGTCCATCTACAACTAAAAAATTTTGAAAGAAAGAAAATCAATGAATTTAATATATCATAAGGTAAAGAAAAATCACATGATTATAAATTAATATGGAAAAGGAATTTGAAAATTCATCTGAATTCATAACAGACTACTTAATAAGGGGAATTCCTCAATTTGACATAAAGAGCATTTACAAAAGCAGCCAATACTATAGTTATTGGTGAAAGATTGAATGTTTTTCCACTTAAAATCTTCGACAAGATTAAGGTTAGGAATGCAGTTCAGTGGTGGAATATTTGCCTAGCATGCACGAGGTTCTGGGTTTAATCCCTAGTACCACACACACAAAAAAAAATTTAGACAAATCTGGGATATCTGCTCTTAACACTCTTAAAACATAGGGGATCCTAGCCAGTGCAATAAGGCAAGAAAAGGGAATAAATGGCATCATGATAGGAAAGGAAGAAATAAAACTTTCTGTTTACAAACATGGTTTTCTAAGTTTAAAATTCCAAGGTATCTGAAGAAACTCACAGAACTAATATAAGTGAGTTTGTTATGGTTACAAAACATAAACATCAGTAACATCAGTAGTAATTTTATAAATAATACTTAACACTGAAACAGAAATTAATAATTAAAGTGCAATTCATTTGCAGTTGCTCCTCCAAAATGAAATAATTGTAAATCTAATAAAACACATGGGGCCTGTGTACTCAAAATTATTAGTTGA